TAGACGGACTGGGCCATTAACAAGTGCAGTTCTGCCGGTCGTGTCCTATTTGCCGCGACGGGAACACGCTGGTCCTGGGGGCCCCCATGGCGGCGGTCTAATACACTTAATGTGCCTGGGAGAGAAGAAAGGCATTTGAGAGCGAGGCGATGCAGACGGCTTGCGGATCCTGGAGGCGTGGGTGCCTAGGAACGGGTTGCCATGGTACGGCGGCACCGAACCTTCCGCTAATCGTGCTAACTTTGAACATGAGAACCATTAGAGCCTACAGTAGGTCATTCAGCCCAACCTGCTCAATTAGATGCTTGCCATCTAAGTTGGTGGAGCATTTTTTTATGTGCCGAGTAGCTGGGGAAGCGAGGAGCCTCTGTTACACTACAAAAGTAGAGCTTTTCCCAAAAATCCCCTGGGAGAAGCTTCCGGAACTGTTCCAATCCGAACCGGTGCTCCGGCAACCTGCTGACATAGGTCACGTCTCATAGACCTTGTTAGAACATGCTCACCTTCGTTCATTATGCTTTTTGCATGTCCTCTGCAGTCCAGAAAGCTTCCTTTATTACAATCACAGTACTAATTATTATAAACTGGAAAATCTATACTGCTGAATAAAAGTGAAGGTGGCTATAATTAGATTTGAGATTCAATAACTGTTTGCCTCTATTTATTGTCGGCCGCTGTAAATACTTTTTGTGGCAGTTACAGATATTACGTTATGTAAGCGTCCCTTTCAATGGGGGGGAGAAATAATTTTAAAGAACGGCATACAATTTGATTTCTGCTCTGCAGTTCACCAAGATCAGCGGAACGTTCTGGGTGGTATTCCTTCTGGAAATGTCTACCCCTAAGTTTGTGGTGCCAGGTAATTCCACCTGCTTTGGCATGGAGATGGAAATGGTGACTGCCCAATAAATCAATTATTTTCAGGTTTGTTCCAATAAAAGATTCATTGAAATATTTTCCTGTATATTATGTTTCATTTTATATTACTAAAATGGATTATATATTTATATAATATCCTGAACCACTCAGATCTGTAGTAGGCCTACAGAAGCAGCATGTCTGTAACCCTGCACTGGATGGGCTCCCTGACATGTGCCCAGATCTTCCCAGGGAAGTCTCACAGACGTTTTTCCTCCACAACTTTTTGTTTTCGTTTTGGAACGGCAAATTCCACACAGTGGATGAGAGAGCAGCCAGCAGGAAATGAAATGAAATTACTGGCCTGATAAATGTATGTGGCATTTTACATTTTCATTGTGTTGTCCCTCACTCAGTGGGGGGGACAAGGAAACGTGCTAAGTATGATGTTAAAATGCTCTCTGAGCGGCGAAATGACTGGCAGGTCTGTCTCATGCGCGGATTTATAACCGATAGTCGATTCGTAATGCTAATGTCCACCTTAGCAGCTGGCTTCTGCTGCAATGCGCACAGAATGCACAGAGTTTGGCTTCTTATGGCAAAGCACGTGGATTGACCCGCCATTCTGCGGACGGGAAGCGGTTTTGTTAAGGGGGTAGTATCTCTGCGTGCCTGTGTGTGGGTGGCAGTCAGATTCCTCTCTACAGGTGCGTGGGTGACTGCCTCACATACACAGGGATGCTTATCGCGTTGAGTGAGCGAATATGTGGATTTATTTGTTCTTTTCTCTCAAGGATCTGCGTGTGTGTTTGGATAGGTTTAGCTGTCTTGTGGGGACAAATTGTTCTGTCTCGTCAGGACACCTGTCTCCAGAATGTAGGAAAACCTGCGCAAGAACACTGCTGTGGCTGCAGCCTCACGAGAGAAACACCTTTCTTAAAGTAAAATACAAAAATGTGCCAAAGCTTTGTTACAGGTTTTCATTCTCTGTTTGGGTGGTTACGCTCAGCAGTCATTAATCAAATAACAATGGAAGTCAATGGAAGTCCCCGTGAATGTCACTTTGGCAAATGCGTCTTTGTGTGAGTGAGTTTGTATGCGCTCGTTTGTTTTTGTGCATGTGCAGTCCTGTGAATGCGTGTGCTCGTTTATGTGTTCTTATGCGTGCATTTGTCTCTCTGTGGCTGTTTGTTCGTCTGTATCAACATGTATGTTTACCTGGGCCTGTTTTTGTTGCAGCCTTTTGTGTGTATATCTCTGTGTGCGTGTGTCTGGTACACTTGTGCATGCATGCGCGTCTGTAGGCGGGCGCATGCCTGCCTGTGCATTTGTTCATGTGCATCTGGTGTGACTCAGGCGCTGAGGGCGGTCCCCAGGGACCTCTACAGCTGGTCACGCCATCTGGGAGAGTCACGGTAACGCCCCCCCCCCCCCACGGCAGGCTGCGCCTACAGGCCGTGGGCCCATCGACGACCTAAATGGGAAAGTTATTTCGTATCGACTCGTCTTCCACCGATGGCTTCAGTTGAGCGGTTATTCATTAAAAAAAAACCCATTTGGTCAATCCAAAAGGATTTACCCTCAACAGCTGATTTAATCTGGCATCCCTTGTATTTGAAAAGTGGATGAAACCTGAAGGGTTTCAGACCATCTATAGTTCGTCTCAGAGTTCTGTATGTTTCTAAAAGTTCCTCAGAGCTTGAAGCACAGAGTGGAGGTGAGTTTTCATGGACTATGTGTCCCCTGGTTCCAGGGCAGATGCTGTTAATTGTTTTTGTGTTTGGTGTTACGGTGAGTTTCTAGGTGGCTCTTGTGAGGGATGACCCCCCTCCACTCCCTTATCATAAATGGTGTGTGGCTCACTGGGTTAGGCTGCTGTTCCTGTGATTGGAAGGTTGCTGATTCAAGTCCCAGAATTAGCAGAGTTGTGCCACTGGGGGGCCCTGACTGAGATCCTTAACCCCATTTGCTCCAGGGACTGGCCGATCCTACCTCCTCACTTGATTGTTGCTTTGGATAAATAAGCAAATGATGAGCCATGGTGAATAGGAACCAATTGCTTGGATGTCTTTGTTGATGCGACAACTGAATATGGTCTGAGAGAGAAGGAGTTTGGACACCAGGCCAGTCTGTCCCACCCTCACCAGTGAGGAGGGGTCTTGAGACCTGGGCCTCTCCTGCCAACCCCCATGCATCACATGGATGAGACGCCCAAAGTCATCCTGCTTTATTGGCTGCTTAGCAATGATGGTGCTTCAGACAGAGTCAGACAGATGTTGCCACTATATCTTTCTTCATTGAGGCCATCCACAGAGTTTGTGTGTGTATGTGTGTGTGTGTGTGTGTGTGGTTATGTATATATTACATTGTGGGGGCCAAATGTGATAAAAACCTGTTGTTTTGATCTTGTGGGGACCATTTTTTCTGGTCCCCACAAGGGGAAACTCAATTTTATAAAGAAATCTGTGACTGCAATCAAAAAACTGAAAATGCCAAAAGTCTTGTATTTTATTTGGTTACTCATGGTTAGTGTTGGGTTAGGGGTTAAGGTCATCATTGCTAGGATTAGGGTTTTTCCTACAGAAATAAATGGACGGTCCCCACAAAGATATGGGTAATATTTTACTTGACGAGGCACAGTGGCCTGGAGTGGAAGCAGCGTGGGGCTGCCAAGCAAAGCTGTACAGCCCATAAGGGGGGGGGGGCTTCACCTGGGCTCAGTGTAGCCCATTCAAGGTCATGTGACATGCCATGTGACACGCCCATGAACTGCTCATATGTAAGAGGTCCAGGACAGCCTAAGGTGAAATGCTAGCTTAAATATGTTGGTAGCACTTTCTGACAGACAAATATTTAGTAATAACCCAGTTACTACTAAAGTACAAATTATGAAAACAATCTCGAATAAATATAGTTGCTACTTGAGATAAGAGATGCGTCACAATTCATTAATGATGAACAAACATGAGATCAGTATTTCACTTGTGTTATTCATGACTTGTTCCTTCAACAGTTCCTTAGTAGTTCCTTCAGTTGTTCAGAATTACAGAATTAACAGATTTAGTAACAAATATAGAAACTGCTTGGGATAAAACATGCATCACGATTAATTAATGATAAATTAACATGCGATTATTGTGTAAGTCTTTGTTTATGGTTAAGTAATACATAGTAATATTATAATACTATTGTATTTGTGCCCCGTCAAATAAAGTGTTACCAAGAAATGAACACAAACGTGTGTATGCATACGTGTGTGTGTTTTGTGGCGCTCACGTATGCATGCCGGCATCCAAACGCGACGGGAACACAGGCACGCACGAATGCCCCTAAGCCTGTTTATTCTGCACCGTAATCAAACAGAATGCCTCGACGACACAGATGCATTTTGCAGTGTCCCAACGTGATTTAAACAGCGACAATTATTCATAACCTTTCAAATCAGGTAATATATAGAGGTAATTATTGAAGCAAGTATCTGGGATCCCCTTCTTGGTAAACACACTGGTATTAATTGGGTGTGTTTACTTTACATGGGCGTTGCTGGATGTATGTGTGCGTCGCATGTGTGACGTTGCTGGATGTATGTGTGCGTTGCATGTGTGACGTTGCTGGATGCACGTGTGCGTCGCATGTGCGATTCTGCTGGGAGAGGACTTTCCTGTTTTTGAGTGCTGACAGTGCTGCCATTGGTTCTCCGGGCTTTGTCCACACAACTCACATTCTTGCTTGGCAAAGGCCTTTTCCCATAATAGTCTCGATCCAGGATCGGTATTCTCAGGCAA